CTCCGTGTTAAAATAGGAAATTTTCGGGTCGTGGGGGTCACGGGTGCTCATGTTCAGCTATCACTGTGCGAGAGGCGGGGGACACCTGGACAGCTCAATGGGATTAACCTGTTTAAATAAAGGTGGAATGAATGACAGGCGTCCAGTCCATCACAGGGACACGGAGACAATCATCCATTCTGTCACACACACCTAGGGACAAAATCAGTCTATAACATGCATGATTTTTGGTCTATGGGAGGAAACAAGAGTACCTGGAGAAAATCTGATTCATGCAAACATTTTGGGTGTGCTGGTGAACAGGTTGGTAGAAAAATTATATGTAGTCATTTACATGTACTTGAGCAATTACATAATAATAACAATAATAAAAAGATAAAATCAATATAATAGAATGTTAGAATAATGAAATGAATAAATTCTATTTCCTAAGTACCGGTACTAATGGAAAAGCCTCGGAACTGGGTCAAGTCGTGTCCAGTCGGGCTGTACCGGTACTAATGGAAAAGGGCAAGTGAAGCTAGTGGGGGAACTAACCCACGATGGGGTAACAACTTAACACAATGCCATTCCAGCACAGTGTTTCAGTCAAATATGAGCCCAAATTGTAGTTCAAAGGTTTTCTCAAACCTTGTTCTTTTGAAATTGTTGCAGACAGCCTGTTTTTTTCATTCATTCAACCTTTATTTAGACAGGTAAATCCCATTGAGCCTCGAGGACTCATTTACAAGAGAGATCTGTTTAACTTCACTGAGAGCATTTAGCAGCTTAAACATAAACTTTGGTTGGTTTTGTCTTTTCTGTCTCTACTTTGCATAGCCCCTGTGAGCATCGTTCTTCTGCTGCTGCTCGAAGCTGAAAAGAAAGCATGCATGTCATACATATTGTCAGATAGCTTGAAGTACTCCAGTATTTTTGAATCATTATCCTGTGAAAACTTTTAAAACCATCTTGACCTAGTCACAGCCTCGGACTCTGATTCATGCTCCTTGATCAGACCATAAACCACAAGTGTCAAACTCAAGGCCAGGGGGTCAAATATGGCCCTTTTTGACATCTTATCTGACCCCCAAGATGATCCTTTAAAAGTAAAATATTTTTACTGCTTCTAATTTTACTTAAAAACTGAGCACATTTCATTTAGTGCAGACTTCTCATGAAACTTTGAAGCCAAGAAAAATTTGTTTGAAATTTTCCGTAGTCTTTGATTTTAATGTGAAAAAAGCATCAGAGAATGTCAAATGAGACAGAAGAAACACTTGTTGAGCAACCAAGGAGCGATTTCAGGTATCTGACTGGAGTTAATGTATCGACTGAAGCTTTGAAATCAATTTGTAATTTTGGTTTCACACCCCTGACATAGACCAAGCGATTCCGCCTCAACTCATTGGGGCTTAAAGTCAGCAGGTCCTGCTTTAGAAAGCTGCCATGTTGTATTTTTATAGTCTTCTTCACACAAAGGATGTGAGGTTCTAAGGCCTCGCCTACTTCCCCGTGCACATTCATGGGGTCACATAACAATTATTTTAAGCATAAAGTAACTAATTACAGATAAACATGTTGGAAAAATTAACATTTGAACATTTGAGATGATAACTGATTTTAAATAGAAGTCTGTGGAACAAAACTTTTAGGTGTGATTATAAATTTCCTTTCTTCTAAATGTAATTCTTTTGTTTAAGTGGACTGCTAATGCTCACATTTAGGAATTTAGCACGTCGCTGTGCTTTTCACATTTTTTTAATAATTCAAACTGAATAATAAATTACATCCATCCATCCATTTTCTTTACCCGCTTATTCCATTTTGGGTCACGGGGGTCGCTGGTGCCCATGTCCAGCAATCACTGTGCGAGGGGCGGGGTACACCCTGGACGGGTCGCAAGTCCATCACAGGGACACATAGAGACAAACAAGACAAACAACCATTCACTCTCTCACTCACACCTAGGGACAATTTAGAGTTACCAATCAGCCTAACATGCATGTTTTTGGACTGTGGGAGGAAACCGGAGTACCCGGAGAAAACCCACGCATGCACGGAGAGAACATGCAAACTCCACCCAGAAAGGTCCCTGGACCGGGGTTTGAACCAAGGACCTGCTCGCTGAGAGGCAGCAGCTCTACCAGTTGCACCACCGTGCTGCCCCTAATAAATTACATGTCTGCAAAAATCCTTCTCTGAGGTCTGTCTCGGGGCTCCCTGTGCTGGCTGATGAAGGATAGACTGAACTATCTTGATCCTGCGACTCCTTTTTGTTCCGTTTCCTGAGCGTTTTCATATCTCCTCAATATTAAATTAACAGAGAATTTATCCCTAATTTGTAACATTTTCTCTTTTGTTACAGTGACAGATGAGGATACAGTCAAGAGGTACTATGCCAAGTTTGAGGAAAAGTTTTTCCAGACATGTGAAAAGGAACTTGCCAAAATCAACACCTTTTATTCTGGTAATTACAACAACCTCATACTGCAGAGCACAGCAGGATATTTTCCAATGGCTCACTATCTTAAACCTTCTTTCTCTTTAATCACCACCAGAAAAGCTGGCTGAGGCTCAGCGACGGTTTGCCACCCTGCAGAATGAACTGCAGTCCTCGCTGGATGCCCAGAGGGAGAGCTTGGCCAGTGGGCGGGGCCTCAGGAGGAGGAGGACTGTGTTTGCCCTGTCACAGAAGGAGCGATGCAAACACAGGAACATACAAGACCTGCAGCTGGCATTTTCTGAGTTCTACCTTAGCCTCATTCTGCTCCAAAACTACCAGGTGGATGCTGTCACACACACATGCACGTATGCAACGCACATACTCGTACACGCACACACACTTCCACACACACAAATCATGAAACCAACACAAATGTAATTATGGTACTGTTGTACCATATGTACAGTGGTGCTTGAAACTTTGTGAACTCTATAATTTTCTATATTTCTGCATAACTATGACCTAAAACATCATCAGATCTTCACACAATTCCTAAAAGTAGATAAAGAGAACCCAGTTAAACAAACAAGACTAAAATATTATACTTGTTCATTTATTTATTGATGAAAATGATCCAATATTACACATTTGTGAGTGGTAAAAGTATGTGAACCTCTAGGATTAGCAGTTAATTTGAAGGTGAAATTAGAGTCAGGTGTTTTCATTCAATGGGATGATCAGGTGTGAGTGGGCACCCTGTTTGATTTAGGGTGCATTCACACTAGCCCTGTTTAGTCCACTTTAATCGAACTCTAGCTCGTTTTCCTAGAAAGTCCGGCTCGTTTAGGGAGGTGTGAACACGCCATCGAACTCTGTCACGGAACAAAAAGGCGAACTCTGGCCCGGGCTAAAACCTAGGTCTCGGTCTGGTAGAAGCGAACTCCAGCGCGGTTCGAGTGCAGTGTGAATGTAAACAGACCGAACCCCGCTCTGCAGGGTAAACAAACACATATTTCTCTTACCTCATATGGAGCCGTCAGCTGCCTTGTGTGGAAAAACAATATTCTCCATGGTCTTCTGTCTCATCTTCTGCTCATGCTAAGTCAATTTTTGAAAAATGACAAAATATAACTCCTAAAACTGCTAAAACTTGATGCCACTTCATTTTATTTTTATTTACAGAAGAAGAAGAAGTGTCTTCAGAGGTTTTTGTGTCGTTTCTTTCAGTAGTTCTTGGTGCAGCGCCCCCACAGGCGAGAGGGGGAATAGGCTGGTTCAACAGGTTGACTCGACTGCACAGTGCAGTGTGAATGCAAACTCACCAGCTCAAATGTAAACAAAAGCTCATGAATATTGGTCTCGAACTGAACCGAGTCTACCGGACTATCTAGTGTGAAAACGACCTTAAAGAACTTGCTCTATCAAAGTCTGCTCTTCACAAAAGATTTGTGGAAGTGTATGATGGCAGAAACAAAGGAGATCTCTGAGGACCTCAGAAAAAGAGTTGTTGATGTTCATCAGGCTGGAAAAGGTTACAAAACCATCTCTAAAGTGTTTGGACTCCACCAATCCACAGTCAGACAGATTGTGTACAAATGGAGGAAATTTAAGACCAGTGTTACCCTCCCCAGGAGTGGTGGACCAACAAAGATCACTCCAAGAGCAAGGCATGGAATAGTCGGCGAGGTCACAAAGGACCCAGGGTAACGTCTTAACAACTGAAGGCCTCTCTCACATTGACTAATGTTAATGTTCATGAGTCCACCATCAGGAGAACATTGAACAAGAATGGTGGTCATGGCAGGGTTGAAAGAGAAAGCCACTGCTCTCCAAAAAGAACATTGCTGTTCGTCTGCAGTTTGATAAAGATCACGTGGACAAGCCGGAAGACTGTTCGAAGAATGTTTTCTGGATGGATGAGACAAAAATATAACTTTTTGGTTTAAATGAAAAATGTTATGTTTGGAGAAAGAAAGACTGCATTCCTATATAAGAACTTTATCCCATCTGTGAAGCATGGTAGTGGTAGTATCATGGTTTTGGCCTGTTTTGCTGCATCTGGGTCAGGACAGCTTGCCATCATTGATGGAACAATGAATTCTGAATGATATCAGAAAATTCTAAAGGAAAATGTCAGAACATCTGTCCATGAAAACTCTATATACCGTATTTTACGGCCTATAAGTAGCAGTTTTTTGCATAATTTACATGACATGCTACTTATAGGCCGAAGCGACATATTTATAGATTATTTCCCATATTTGTAAACCATTTTTTGGCTGAGATATGACCATTTCCATTCATTCTGACTGAAAAAAAGAGCAGTACCACTTACAGCCACTTGATGGGAGCAGAGTATTAATAGTATATGGCATGCTGTTGGCTGTTGTATCATGTAATGGGTAAACGTGGCTATAATGACAAATCAAAAAAGTTCAAGACAAAAACAACTGGATTTTATTTATTATACTATACTTTATAGTTTTTTTCTTGAACTTTTTAGAATTTACCATGTCCTGGATTACTGAGAATCTTCATCAACTTCTAATGACTCAATCGGCCTGCCATACTCTCCCCACCTTCTGCGCTCTGCTTTGAACTGTCAAAACAGCTGCAACACCCTGGCGAAATGCAGCTGATTTGACCATTAAAGTACATTTATTAAGTCTAAAAAGTTAAATCTGGTCCTCTGGACATTAAAAAAAAATAAAAATTTTGAAACGTTTACTCTTTCATCCGAAAGACTTCCTCAGTCTGAGGTGCTGTATTCAGCTCAGTCTTATAAATAGCACCTTCTCAGAATGGATCAACCAGTTTGCTGCTGACAGCAAAAACCAGCTGCTCACGTGATCAAGAAGGACCATCAGCTTAATGATGGATCATTAGCACTCTGATGGCTGTTTACTATTCATAGGGGGCTGAGTGATACTAGCAATAACAGCATTGTAAGAGGGGGACAGTTGAACATGGAGGCCTCCACCCCTGTATAATGATGGACGGTTTCTTTTCACAAAGATGGCCTCCTTTACTCCTCTCTCAAACCATCGGTCCTCTCTATCAAGGATGTGAACTTCTTCAACCTGAATGAGTGACCACTGGCCTGGAGGTGAGTGTACACTGCAGAATCCTGGCCTGATGATGTATATATGTATATACAACCCGGATTCCAAAAAAGTTGGGACACTAAACAAATTGTGAATAAAAACTGAATGCAATGATGTGGAGGTACCAACAGCTAATATTTTATTCACAATAGAACACAAATCACAGTTCAAAAGTTTAAACTGAGAGAATGTATCATTTTAAGGGAAAAATCTGTTGTTTCCAAATTTCATGGCGTCAACAAATCCCAAAAAAGTTGGGACAAGTCCATTTTTACCACTGTGTGGCATCCCCCCTTCTTCTGACAACACTCAACAGACGTCTGGGGACAGAGGAGACCAGTTTCTCAAGTTTAGAAATAGGAATGCTCTCCCATTCATGTCTAATACAGGCCTCTAACTGTTCAATCGTCTTGGGCCTTCTTTGTCGCACCTTCCTCTTTTTGATGCGTCAAATGTTCTCTATTGGTGGAAGATCTGGACTGCAGTCTGGCCATTTCAGTACCCAGATCCTTCTCCTACGTAGCCATGATGTTGTGATTGCTGCAGAATGTGGTCTGGCATTATTGTGTTGAAAAATGCAGGGTCTTCCCTGAAAGAGATGACGTCTAGATGGGAGCATATGTTGTTCTAGAACCTGAACATAGTTCTCTGCATTAATGGTGCCTTTCCAGACATGCAAGCTGCCCATGCCACAAGCGCTCATGCAACCCCATACCATCAGTGATGCAGGCTTCTGAACGGAGCGTTGAAAACAACTTGGGCTATCCTTGTCCTCTCTGGTCCGGATGACATGGTGTCCCAGTGTTCCATAAAGAACTTCAAATCATGACTCATCTGACCACAGAACAGTCTTTCATTTTGCCACACTCAATTTTAAATGACCACTGGCCCAGTGCAAACGTCTGAGCTTGTGGAGCTTGCTTAGAAATGGCTTCCTCTTTGCACTGTAGAGTTTCAGCTGGCAACGGCGGATGGCACGGTGGATTGTGTTCACTGACAATGCTTTCTGGAAGTATTCCTGAGCCAATTCTGTTATTTCCTTGACAGTGGCATTCTTGTTTGAGGTGCAGTGACGTTTAAGTGCCAGGAGATCACGAGCATCCAGTAGAGTTTTACGGCCTTGACCCTTACGCACAGCGATTGTTCCAGATTCTCTGAATCTTTTGATGATGTTATGCACGGTTGATGATGATAACTTAAAAGTCTTTGCTATTTTACGCTGGGTAACACCATTCTGGTATTGCTGCACTATCTTTCTGCGCAACAATGGTGGAATTGGTGATCCTCTTACCATCTTGGCTTCTGAGAGACACTGACACTCTGAGAAGCTCTTTTTATACCCAATCATGTTGTCAATTGACCTAATTAGTGTTAATTGGTCTTCCAGCT